GGGGCTCGAACTCACGGAGCGCGAGATCGTGACCTGGCTGAAGTCGGACGCTCAACCGACTGCGCCACCCAGGCGCCCCTCAAACATTTTAAATTATAATGAAACCGCTTGAATCTTTATTAGAACCAATACATCAAAGATCTGAAAAACTTCTTCAAATGCCCTTTGACTCAGCCATTGCAGTTGTAGGAATTTACCTTAAAGAAACGTCAGAAATGGGTACAAAATTATGTACGAGTTATGTTTTTGGTCAATGGCTCCCATTCCCGATTCTAAATTTGGTGATGATCCTCTATCAAATGAAATGCGTTTGTATTCGGGGCACCTGGGTGGCTCAGTAAGTTTAGTGTGAGACTCTTGATTTCTGCTCAGGTCATCATCCCAAGATGGTGGGATCAAGCCTGCATTGAGCTCCATGCTGAGTGTGGACTCTGCTTGATATTCTCTCTCTCTCTCTCTCTCTCTCTCTCTCTCTCCTCTGCCCCTCTTCTCTGCCCACATTCTTTCTCTCTCTAAAACAAAAACTAGGTCCATTGTATATATAAACCACATCAAATGTTCATCAGTTGATGGACATTTGGGCTCTTTCCACAACGTGGCTATTGTAATGAGCACTGGGTGTTGTAGGTAAACAATAAATCATGGGAACTACTCCTGAAACCAAGAGCACACTGTATACATTGTATATTAGCTAACTTGACCATAAATTATATTTAGAAAAAAAGTTAAAAATAAAAATAAATCGATAAAAATTAATTAATTAAAAAGAAGAAATATGTGTAAATTAATTATCTATCATCCCAGGAGATGAAATGTTTCCCCATGTTTGCTGAGTTTCACTATAGATCAATTTCCAAACTGTATACTGTCTAAATGAACTTGCTTCCAGGCTTCTTCTTACCTTTGATTTAATCAGACTTTGTGAAACCAACACAATGACTATGTTTAGAAAAATTTGACATCATGACAGTTTCTTACCCGAACCCCAACTTTAGAATCCAGGTGGAAGGGGGAGAGACAAGAGGAGGAGTTTTTGCAAATTAGCCATCGCATAAAACTCACCTTGACGGGCTCCTCAGTATAGAAAAGAGCAAAGAAGAAGTCAGTAGTCTTCATAGGAGACAAGGATTCAGAGCCCATTTCTTCACCCTGGCACCAGGAAACTTCAAGAGCAAATCTGCTGTTATTTTCCTTCTTGTGACAGGTTAGTTTTATGACCTTTATTTCCTCAAAGAAATTGGGGCTTAATGAGATTTTAAATGTTTTATTTTGTGCCATATAAGTGCATGATTAGAAAAATATCCTTGTGGGGGCACCTGGGTGGCGCAGTCGGTTAAGCGTCCGACTTCAGCCAGGTCACGATCTCGCGCTCCGTGAGTTCGAGCCCCGCGTCAGGCTCTGGGCTGATGGCTCAGAGCCTGGAGCCTCTTTCCGATTCTGTGTCTCCCTCTCTCTCTGCCCCTCCCCCGTTCATGCTGTGTCTCTGTCTGTCCCAAAAATAAATAAACGTTGGGGAAAAAAAATTAAAAAAAAAAAAGAAAAATATCCTTGTGTTCTACATGTGCAATTAAAAAAAAATGGCTCATTGGAATATTCACAAGAGAAGGAAAAATGGACTAAGAATTTATCCAAAGAGCAACTCATTACCATTTCCAGTGAGGAAGAAGACAGGTTGAGGTCAGTGTTGGCTATACGTATGGAGAGAGATTTTGCCAACTGAGATTTAATTTGAGTTTGTTTCAGATGAGGGGATAAATAGACAGAGGTGACTGGGCACTGGAGGTCAAGGGGAGCTGCTGAAGAAGCAACAGCATATGAATGATCAAGGAGACACCTACAACACACTAAACACAGATTGCACATGCGAATAGCCTTTTATTTTTATTTTTATTTCAGCAGCCAAGGAAATCAACTACCCTGGAGAAGAGTGACCGGATAATTTTGATATTTGAAAGGTGATTTTTCAAACAAATGTATATGTCCCAATGAAACATAATAGCCTTGGCATTAAACACATGGACACTGAGTATTTGGGTTCACTTTTCAAATTATTAAATGCAACATTCATTGTCTATGTATTTCTGTTGGTAGCAACTTCTTTGTTAATATAGACTCCTTCTGCTACTTTGTGATCTAGGGTGTTGGCTGATATTACAATCCTGCGAAGTGTGTGGAAAACCTATGCATTAACTGGTGTACTCAGGGGGGATTATTTAAGGACTAGCTGCTGTCACTGGGTAAACTCATTGCTTGTAGCCTCTGGATACATTTTCAAGTAAATAGCAACACATCCAAATGGTACAGGGTTATGTTAAGAAGCCTTAATTTAAAAGAATTTACCAAGGAACTCCAGATTAAAAAACAGTCTCATATTTTAATAGCAGCTCGAGTCCACTGTAATAGAAACGTATTAAAATGCAGTACAGAATTCCTGGGGCACCTGGGTGGCTCAGTCGGTTGAGCGTCCAACTTCGGCTCAGGTCACGATCTCACGGTTCGTGGTTCAAGCCCCACATCGGGCTCTGTGCTGACAGCTCAGAGTCTGGAGCCTGCTTGGGATTCTGGGTCTCCCTCTCCGTCTGCCCTCCTCCTCTCTCTCTCTCTCTCTCACTCTCTGTCTCAAAAATAAACATTTTTAAAAAACTTTTTTAAAATGCAGTACAGAATTCCTTTCAGTTTTTCTTCCAGAGAGAAATTCAGCTTTTCTTTCAGAGAGAAATTCAGCTAAAGAGCAAAAATACAGGGAGAAAATCACCAGAGAGTTAAGGAGACCTCTCCTAAGGAAACTGTATTTCAGGGGTACCTGGGTGGCTCAGTTGGTTCAGCATCTGACTCTAGTTTCACCTCAGGTCATGATCTTGCAGTTCAACCCCCGCGTCAGGCTCTGTGCTGACATTGTGGAGCCTGCTTGGGATTCAACCTCTCTCTCTCTTTCTCTGCCCCTTCCCTGCTTGCTCGCAATTTCTCTCTCTTTCTTTCTCTCAGAATAAATAAATAAACTTTTTAAAAAAGGTTTTAAGGGGGCACCTGGGTGGCTCAGTCGGTTAAGCATCCGACTTCAGCTCAGGTCATGATCTCACGGTCCGTGAGTTCGAGCCCCACGTCAGGCTGTGGGCTGATGGCTCAGAGCCTGGAGCCAGCTTCCGATTCTGTGTCTTCCTCTCTCTCTGCCCCTCCCCCGTTCATGCTCTGTCTCTCTCTGTCTCAAAAATAAATAAATGTTAAAATAAATAAATAAATAAATAAAAATTAAAAAGGTTTTAAAAAACTATTTTAGAAAGGAAGGAGGGGAGGAAGGAAGGAAGGAAAGAAGAGGGACGGAGGGAAGGAAAGGAAAGGAAGTAGGAAGGAAGGAAGAAAATTCTGTCTCCTCATGTTTCAACTGAGCAGACAGAGCAAGCTCAGAGAGCAGACAGGGTGAGGAGAGTGGTGTCCTCAGAGTCACTTACAGATAAGTGGCATTTCTGAATACCTGTTGATATTGCCCGTATATTTTCTTTGCTCCATCCGTTGAAAAGTGCACTGCCTGGGGCGCCTGGGTGGCGCAGTCAGTTAAGCGTCCGACTTCACACGACTTCAGCCAGATCGCTCCGTGAGTTCTGAGCCCCGTCGGGCTCTGGGCTGATGGCTCAGAGCCTGGAGCCTGTTTCGATTCTGTGTCTCCTCTCTCTGCCTCCCTCCCCGTTCATGCTCTGTCTCTCTCTGTCCCCAAAATAAATAAACGTTGAAAAAAAAATTAAAAAAAAAAAAAAAAAGAAAAGTGCACTGCCTGATCTGATCCCTGACCCTGATCCTGACCCTGACACTGACGCCTAATACTTCATCTCCAGCCTCATTGTACCCTCTACCCTTCTGGCACCCACTCACAAGGCTTCGCTTGATTTTCTTCAAAAATGTCCAGCATGTTTCTGCCTCAGACTCTCTGCTTGGAATTCTCTTTCAGATGCCTACAGGTGGGTTTGGTCCCCCACTTCCTGCTTCAGTGTCATCAGGGAGCCCTTCCCTGACCGTGTTATAGAAAACAATAGCCTGCCTCCTGTATTCCCCACAGCCCCTACCCTGCTTCATTTTTCTCCATAGTGTGTATCATCATCCAGCTTACTATTTATTTACTCCCTTGTTTATTCTCTACATCATTGGAATGTTCTCAAGGAACTATGTTAGATCTGTTCACTGCTGCATCTGCCCAACTGAAGTCATATCTGCAACAGAGTAGACACCAGTAAATGTTTAGTGAATGAGCAAATGGCAGAACATTAATCTTCAGGATGAAGGCGGTTGGACTACTTTTGTGAAGAACGTTTACATGTATGTAGCTTGCACTCTGCCCCAAGAACAGTGAGATGAGCGATACTTACTTGATGAAATGCTCTGTTGGAGTTTTCTTTTTCCCACCCACTTCAAACCCTATCACAGGGCAAAAGTGGGCATTTTCTGGCTTAAATCAAAAGTAAATTGTGCAAAAGTCACCGACATGAGTGTTTTGGCAAGCAGATCGTAGTAGCAGAAGGAGTTAAAAGTCAGTTTGTGCAAAATCTGTATATGGAGGTGCATGTGTGTGTGTTTGTGTGTGTGTAACTTTAGGAATCAATTTTTTTTTGAGAGAGAGAGAGAGAGAGAGTGCACATGCACGCGCACGATCAGGGGAGGGGCAGAGGGACAGCGAGAGAGAATCTTCAGCCCACAAGGGGTTCCATCTTTGACCTGTCCTGAGCTGAAATCAAGAGTCAGACGCTTAACCGACTGAGGCACCCAGGGTCCCCCAAACCTTTTTTTATGCAATCTACTTTGTACTTGAAAATGAGAAAGTCTTGTGTGAGGTAGGGTTTTCTGTCGCTCAGAGAACCTTTGAATTGGATAGCAGCTTTGAGTAGGACATTACTTAAATGCATTACTAACAATTTTAGAAAGAAAAAAAAAAACCTAATGATGTTGAACTGTAGAAGAAAATTCCATGACAAGAAAAATCTGATTTTCTACTAATAAATTCCCTGATACAGGGAACAATGCCAGGAAAGAGAATTGCGGTGATTGGTGCTGGGGTCAGTGGATTAGGGGCCATTAAGATCTGTCTGGAAGAGGGATTGGAGCCCACCTGCTTTGAAGGAACCAATGACATTGGAGGACTGTGGAGATACCAGGTAAGTCTGAATAGACTATGTCACCGCATGTGTGATGACATATTTTCCATATCTGGAAGTAGGGATGCAAAGATATCAGCAGTAACTTATCCTCAACTACCAGCGTAATAATTATTATTTTTATTAGTGCCTACACCTGTGCGTGGAATCCCAATCTTTCCTTCCCCCAAGGATGATGCTCCAACAGTCCTTCCTCCTTACAGAGTCTAACTTCCTGAAGTTCCACCAGCATTACCTAGTGGGCATACAAGCCCTCCCAGAAAACTGCTCTCACGGCTGTTACCAATCAAAGCTGTCAAATCAGATGGACTTCCTGTGTTGAGTTTTCTTGCTTTCTCAAGGGGATCTAAAAGTGTCAAAAACCAACTCAGTTTAAAAACCACTTGTCCCTGGCTTCCGTGATTTCACTCTCTTTTCCTCTCTCCTTTTCCAACGCGATAGTTTTCCACTTGGCCTCTCAACGTGGCTGATTGTGGTTCTATTCTCAATCCTCTGGTCCTTTACTTTTTGCAAGTAGCTTGGGATTCTTCCTTATCACCCCACCTTGGCTTTCAGCTAGCACATACATGCTAATGCTTGATCTATCTGTAGATTTTGATCTTCATCCTAATAATATATATGTGCTAGTAAGGGCAGCTAACACTAACTGTCCCACAGACAAACTCTGAAATCTCCAGGACTTAGCACAATAACGGTTTCTGTCCCGCATCATAGTCTGATGTGACTAAGCAGTTCTTTTCCAACTTAGAGTTATGCCCCTTGACCATGCGACCTCCAAGGTTGCCATGTGGGGATAAAAGAAAGGTAATCTCTGGGATGTCTCACCAACACCTAGTTGGCTTTTTAGGTCTATCCTTTTTTTTTTTTTTTGGAAGAACAATTCCCTCCATTACATTCCCAGTTTCAAGTATTGGGAGTAGTTTCCATGTTCCTTTTTCTTTCTTTTTTTTTTTTTTAAGTTTATTTATTTATTTTGAGAGAGACAGACAGAGTGAGCAGGGGAGGGGCAAAGAGAGAGAGAGAGACAGAAAGAGAATCCCAAGCAGGCTCCGTGTGTCAGCACAAAGCCTGACGCGGGGCTCAAACTCAGGAACCCTGAGATCATGACCTGAGCCAAAACCAACAGTAGGATGCTTAACTGACTGAGCCATCCAGGTGCCCCAGTTTCCATCTTACTGGTTGGACCTTAATCAATACAGGCCTCTCTCTAGGAAAGCTTCTCCAGCCTCCACGCCCGATATCTACAGCACCCTGTGCACACAGGCTATTAGTCATATCACACTATATGCACTTGTTGAGGTGTGTAAGGTTTTTAAGCATTTTTTGTGCATGATTTGGTCTTCACAATAACTCCGTGAGAGAGGCAAGCACTTATTTGCAGGCGAAGAAATAGATTCAGAGAAATGATTTGATGTCAGGTTCCCTATCCAAGCCAGACAACGATATATCTCCAGGACCACATCAGAATGCCACAAAATACCACATCATGTCATCTGATCTCATCTGATACCCATCTTTTAAGCTTTCACTCATAAAAAATGCTGCTTATGTTTGCAGAAGCTATCCTTCTCAGAAGGGATATTTTTATATATGAGTGTTCACTACAATGGCATTTATTAAACAATACTCTTCATTTTGAGGGAGAAAACACATATTTTGATCTGTTCTTAAAGTTGATGTGATTTAGCAGGAATTAGATTCCATATTTTCTGGATTCAAGTTTAGAATATTCATAGTACATGTATTACTGATTCTTTATTTCACCAATAATATACAACAGATGAAAAAAATAACCTCCTCCCCAATTGTGTTTTCTGCGTACATATATTAAAATGACTATATTTTAAGATTATAATAAATTCTTCCCGGGAGAAAACAACATATTTTAAGTGGTGGTGTATTTCTTTTCTTAGCCTTAAATCACTTAAGTGTCTAGCCTTAGTTTCAAAAAAAATCAGGAATGGTTGCTAACACACATAACAGATATTATGTGCTGTATGGACTCCTGAAAAATTAGCATGATAATGTGCTTCACAAGATTGAATTAGGTAATGTATATAAAAAACTCTTTAGGGGTGCCTGGGTGGCTCAGTTGGTTGGGTGTCCAACTTCGGGTCAGGTCATGATCTCACAGTTTGTGAGTTCGAGCCTTGCGTTAGGTGCCGACAGCTTGGACCCTGGACCCTGCTTCAAATTCTGTGTCTCCTCTCTCTCTTCCCCTCCCCAGCTTGTGCTCTATCTGTCTGTCTGTCTGTCTCTCTCTCAAAAATGGATGAACATTAAAAAAATTTTTTTTAACTCTTTATAAACCGTAACATATTGTAAAGTGCTAAAATACAATATACCTATGTATGCATATAGATAAGTAGATAATAGAGGTTCTGAAAGATTGAGAAACTGAGGCCAAAAGCATATATATCAAAACATTTAAAGTGATCATCAAGTTGGCGAGGATGTGAAGAAAGGAGAACCTTCTTACATTGTTGGTGGGATGTAAACTGGTGCAGCCACTCTAGAAAACAGTATGGAAGTTCCTTAAAAAGTTAAAAATAGAACCACCCTATGATCCAACAATTACACTACTAAGTATTTACCCAAAGGATACAAAAATTCAGATTCAAAGGAGTACATACATCCCGATGTTTATAGCAGCATTGTTAACAATTGCCAAACTATGCAAAGAGTCCAACTGTCCATCAACTAATGAATGGATAAAGATGTAACATATGTACACACACACACACACACACACACACACTCTCTGGAATATTACTCAGCCATCAAAAGGAATGAAACCTTGCCATTTGCAGCAATGTGGATGGATGGAACTGGAGGGTATTCTGCTAAGTGCAATAAGTCAATCAGAAAGACAAATACCACATGATTCCACTCATATGTGGAATTTAAGAAACAAAACAAATTAA